CTCAGAGTGGCCTCGTTCCCGCCACGAGAGCCCCGCACGGGGGAGAGCGCACGAGGGCAAGGCCGGCGGGACACGCCCCACAGAAAACGGGGCAGGACAGCATCACTGACGCGACCTGTTGGCTAAAACTGCAGACAACTGTAAATGGAAGCACATGAGGATTTCTTTTTCTGGAATCAAAAGAAGGACCAGTTCCCGTGGGGGGAAGAGGCAGGGCAGAAGGGCAGCAGAGGGGAACGGCCGCAGAGTGGCGAGGGGCTGGCGGGGACAGCCGCCCCGTGTCCTCACACACTGAACCCGCGCCCCTAGAAGGGCGCCCCTGTGTCTTCTGAGCCACAAGAACGGTCACACTCCCTTTCTGACGTAAAGATGCCGAACACGTTTAAGAGCAACCGTGTCTAAAACCAACCCCACACTCGGGGGGTGTCTGCGGGGCGGGCGGGGCTACGCTCTGCGAGAACCCTGAGGAACCCAACCTGGAACAGCACGGGGCACAGCTGCGGCCCGCGCAGCCCGGCGGCTTCCTCGGGGCTCGGCCTCTGCACGCGGGGGACAAGCGGCTCACAGAAGCTGCCTCTCCTTCCTGGCGGCCGGGGCCGGCCGCAGCTCCCCGGGCCCGTGGGCGAACGGGCAGCAGTCCGAGGGCAGAACACAGCCGTCAGGGTGATGAGTGAAGAACCAACAGATGCGGGTTTTGCGGGCTTCCAGTTCCTTCTCCTCCCGCAGCTTCTCTTCTCTCCAGTCGCGGATGTGAACTTGCCCGTTCACGACTGGGGTTGCGAAGAGAAAAGACACAGCCAAGGAGTTAAATGTCAATTCAATTCCCCAGGGTCTGTGATGGCAGCTGCCAGGGCTGGGGACACAGACATGAGACAGAGTCCCCACCGCCCTTGGTAGTGGGAGAGAAACAACGCAATGGGGTCCCGACCAGGGACCCCAGCCCCCTACCCACCCCTGAGGCTCCTGGTCCCCACCTAAAGGGGAGCATGAGGGAGGGGATGAGGGAGCGAGGACAGGATGGAGGCGTCGGGAGGAGCTACTGGACACCAGGCGAAGGGGGAGGAGCCCTGCGTCTGAAGTTCTGGTGGTGATGAGATCTAGGTGGGGCCCAGCAGGTGGCTGGGACAGCATGGGGGACTAGCTTGTAGAACAAGACTAAGGACCTGGGAGACCACATGCATGGCCTCCCCCCAATCAGGAAAAATGTTGGGACGTCTGCACAGTGGCATTGGTCCTCGAGAACACATCTCCACATCACAGAGAGAAAACGGAGTGAGACGGGAGAGGTTCAGGCTGGTGAAGACGAGGGGCAGGCTGTGGGAGCCCCCTAAGAGTAAACAGCAAGCAGGGGTAGGGGGCACGTGGCCCTGTTAGCAGGGTGGGGGCAGCAGGCCTCCACGCGCAGGGATTCAGACGCCTGCCCTGAGCAGACGCCCTGAGAGATGTAGCGGGAGAGACCCGTGTGGCCAGGGTGACCATGAAGCTGAGCAGGGGAAGGTCAGGGAAGGGGCAGTGGCCCATCAGCTGACCCCCTGCAGAGCTGCCTCCTGAGCTGGTCACCCCCACTTGGCTGACAGCCCCCCAGGAGTTTCCACTTGGCCGTTTCATCTTGAGACGTCAACATCTCCTCGTGAAATGTGGCCAAAGCAACCAAACCCATGCTGGTTTTCCCTGGAAGCTGCAAACCACCTGGAGACGCCAAGACTTGGGAGAAATAAAGGAGGCTTATTGAACATGCCTGGCTCTCCAGCTTCTAAGGAGACCTTGGAACTGTGGATTAAAGCTTGAATTTCGCTTTCAAATGGCCTTGTGCCACGCAGGAATGAGCCTGTCCGTCTTTGCAGACAGGTATTTACTAAATACTTTCCCCTGAAACCAGAAAAGGAGCCGCAGAGGCGCCGCTCAGCGCTCAGCGCGGAGGGACACAATGCGGGGATTCATCCCCCGGGGCAGCCAAGGAGCGCCTGCTGAGGGCCAGGCGGGGTCCTGCCTCCCTCCCTCCACAGGCCTGCTCCGGGGCTGCTCTCCCTACAACGCAGACGCTGAGTGCCAGCCTGAAAGCGGGGGTCGGGAGACGCCACCACCTGCAGCTGGATGTTCCCACAGCAGCACCTCCTGGCACAGCTGGGAATGACACGTCCCAGAAAGTGTGCGCCCCAGAAAGACAAGGTGCCCCTGATGGCCTGAATGGGGTCAGGAGAAATCTGGGGGAGAGGGGTTTGCTGGGGCTGAAGCTGGGTACCATCCCCACCCTCCAGACGCCAGGCCTCGTCCCCTCCCGTCAGGACAGGCTGGCTCGCAGCAGGCCCTGCTCTGGAGGTTTAAGATGAAACCTAGCCGTGTTTTTGGAGCAGTACCTGCAGGGTTGAGGAGAAGGGGCCCAGACAGTATTTGCAGGGCCTGGGGAGTGGGCACTAACGCCAAGAGGTGGCCCTGCCGATGGCAGAGGCCAGGGAGTCCTGAGGTGGCCAGGCTGGCCGACGCACACGCTCCCCACACCCCCAGCCTCCAGCCTCCAGCCCGGCAGGCCTGTGCCTCCGCGGGCGCGCTCCAGCCAGCTCACAGGCCGGACAGTGGACTCTCTCTGTGTACAAATGTGCTCCTGATTTTAAATGAACTACAGGCACAAAATATGCTCTACAAAGTTCACGTTTCACCCGACGGTTCCGAACCCACTTGCTCCCTTAAGTGCGAATTCCCTTGGACTTGCTGAACCTCCTGTTCTGGATTCTCTGCCATTTCTGACAACAGACGTGACCTTAACCGAAGTGTCCCGAGGAACCAGCTGAAGATTCTTCCAGAGAGTCACTACAGTTTACCAGGACAGTGCGGTGTGCTCAGCAGCACGGGCTCTGGAGTCCATCTGGACCTGGGTCACCAGCCCAGGCCCTCCGCTCACAGGAGACCCCGGGCAAGTCACCGACCTAGCCGAGCTGCGTCCACACCCTAAGGCCGTGAGCACGGGGACCATCTGTGCTGGGCGGCCCTGGGGCGCCCGGCCCACCAGGCGCTCAGTGCAGGCTGAACTGAAGGCACCTGAAATGGTTTTGCCCCCCCCCCATTCGTGTAAACATTACTAGAAAACCAACCACGTTGGTTTAACAAAAACCTGACACGGAGATAAGGCGCAGCTCCAGTGCATAGGTCTTGCAGGACTGGGAGCCGAATGTTTACTGGAGCTCAGTCCCCAAGCCTCCTACTCAGAAGTGTTTCCAAAAATAAATGTGCCCTCCATGTGAACTGCAGAGAAAAGCATTCCCAAGACGCATATTTATGATGGAAAAACACACTATTTTACGAAATCAAACCAAACCTGTGCTGGGGACAGCAGAAGGAACAGCCACTCTGGGCCGCGACGAGTGCTGAGCTGACTACAGCTCTGCGCAGCAGGGCTCGGCCCTGCCCCTGCCCCTCCGCTCTCCGAGGGGCCTGCCCCCCGCAACCTCCAACCCGGAGACGCCCCTTCCATTTGTGGGGATCCCTGCCCCGTAACAGGAGCCTTTATCCAAGTGAAACTGAGCTGAAGTGAAAGCAGTGTGGCTCTGAAAGGACAACCAGCCGACCGAAGGCACTGCCGGTGAGGGAAGGCGTCACTCAACCCCTCAGGAGGTCTCCAGGCCGAGGGAGTGGACAGGTGTGCTCCCCCAAGTCACTGTCCAACCACCCGGCCTGGAAGGACCACAAAGCTCAGGGTGGGGGATCAGCCCAAACCCTGGGGCTCAGACAGCCGCCTGTGTGCCCAGACAAGGCCTCTGGGCCCAGCACATGCCCACAGCCCTCGGGTCAGCCCCAGTGCGCCAGGTCAGACTTCAATTCTGTGTTGCCACAATGGCTCTCCTCACCTCTGCAAGAGCCTGGGCCCAGCTGGCCAGCGGCCTCCTCCCCATGCAGACCCAACCAGGCCACTGTCCCAAGGCCCTGGGACACCGCTTGGTGTGCCTTCCTCCCCACCAGGTCCTGGAGACAGGGAGGTGTCATCTCAGGGTGCAACCCCTGGCACAGAGCTGCACGTGGAGGCCCTGCCCACAGAGGTCTGCCCCTCCGTAAAGAGGGGTTGGAAGGGTGTATCCTCCTCACAGGGACCCTCACTCCTCCATCCTTGGGCAAACGCTGAGTGCCCATGCAAGGGGCTCTGGGCTGCCTCTCAGGCTGCAGAGCTAGACCTGGCCCCGCCTGCAGGGAGCTCATAGCTGAGCTGGGGCAGTGATGTGACCGCTGCATAAGGATGTGTGACAGAAGCATGTGTGGAACAGGGTCCCAGAGGAGGCAGGTCTGGGCGGGGGCAGAGGGAAGCTGCCTGGAAGAAGGCTTCGCAGAGGAGACGGCACTCCGGCCCTGCTATCAGAGAAAGCCAGGCACCAGGCGGGGCAGGCAGCAAGCAGGGAGCCTCGGGGACAGAACAGCAGCACGTCAGGAGTCAAGGGCCCACAGGCCACTGGCAAAGCAGGTGGGGCCGGGCCGCGCTGGGGAAAGGAAGGCAGCGGGCAGCGTGCGTCCTCACGGGAGCCCAGAGGTCGAGGGGGGCCAGGTCGAGAGGACAGCCCTGGGCCGGCCTGGTCGGCTACGGGGCCCATGCTCTCAGCACGCTGTCACACCCCACTGTCCCAGACCCACCATTCTGCGCGTCTTCCATGTGCCCCCACCCGCCTCCTGGAAAGAAGAGCGAGCTCGAGGTAACAGCACCAGCCCCCACCCAGCCTCCATGTGCTGTTTCCTGACAGAAACAGCATCAAAGCTGCTTCCACCTCTGATGCAGCACAGGGCCAGGCGCTGGGTGTGGGGGCTGCACCTGGCCCTTGTGGTGCCTAGCAAGGCAGAGAGCAGGTGGCCCAGTGACTGCCGGGCTCAGGGCCCTTTGCGGGGGCACAGGCAGTGACGCCGCAGCCAGACCCACAGTCCCACGGAGTCATCACGCCCCACTAGCCACAGGGGCCCAACCCTCCTCGCGGCCTCGGGGCCTGCAGCCTGCCTGCACTACCTACCCGGTCCCTCTCCAACTCAGACCCTTCACACATGCTGTTCCCTCTGCCAGACACGCTCTTCCCGTCCCCTTTACCCAGTCCCAGCTCAGCTGTCACTTCCTAAGTGAAGCCTTCCTGACGTTTCTCCGGGACTAGGCCAGGCCTCCCTGGGTGGGAACGTCACCCACGACATTCAGGTGACACAAGAAGATGCCCACTACTTTTCAAGCCGCACGCTGCAGTGCTCAGGGGTGACCAGCCAGCTAGCTGGGATGTGCTTTCACAGACTTCCATGAAGGGAAGTGGGGGAAAAGCTTTAAGAAGCAAACACAAGTTAAGGACCGTCTGGCTGACGTGTACACGGCCTGCTGTGTGTATGCTGGTAACTTTAACAGAACTTCTTTTGAACCCCAGATGCCCATGTAAACATGTGTGACACCCTCTCCCCGTCAGACCACACACTCCGGGAGGGCGGGGCAGTGGTGAAAAAACACACAGGCTCCTGGGCCCTTCTCCCTCCTGCGGCCCTGGGGGACTGGGGTGCAGGAGGGAGGGAGAGCAGGTGCGCAGCGGGGGGCCGGCAGGAACTGGGGCCTCCCTCCTCTAAGGGCCCAGGGCCTGGCTGGGAGCTCAGTGTGCTCCCAGTTTGCAGCCAGAGGCCAAAGGAAGGCAAGAAGCGAAGCTCCACCCAGAAAAGCTCCCTGGGAGACAGGAGGCCCCCAGCAAGCAGGCTCCTCCTCCTGCGTGAGGAGGCAGCACACCATGGGGGGGGCCAGCCCGGGGGAGAGGCTGGGAGAATCAAAGCCGCAGGGGCGTGAGCCACATTCTGCCTCCACGTGAGGTGCACACAGCGGGGTGATATTCCAGCTCTAAAACTCCATGAAAATAAAGTTCATTTCGTAAGAAAGAGAGGGAGGGAAGGAGGTCTGCAGGGGGTACTCCTCACGGCCTTAGGGAAGGCGAGCGACCTCCCGCAGTGAGACATGAGCGTGGGACAGGCCGGCCCCTACCTTGGAACACCTGGTGGCTGTTCCGCAGCAGCGTCTGCAGGCCCCCGCACTCACGCTTCAGTCTCTGCAGAGTCTCCCTGTCCAGCTCGCCGGCCACTTCTGCCAAGGAAAGGCTCCCTGTTGAAAACGGGGATTCCCCCAACAACAAAAAGTCTATTACGAACCTGTGACATAGGCAGAAACAGCGGGGCCCTGAATCCGAGTTCCATGAAGTTAAATCCTCGTGCACAAGAGGGATTGTGACGGTCCTGTTAGGCCCAGGCCACAGCTCACAGCAGGTGGAAGTGGGCGCAGAGGCGTCACACCCGAGGGCCAAGGGCTTCCCACCTGCCAGGCCGCGCAGACCACATCCGCAGGGGGCCTCCCAGACACGGAGGGTCAGCACTGCGTCGGGCCAGCCCTCAGACCCCAGCACAGGCTGCTGCTGTGGGGCAGGTGCTGTAACTCATCTACGGAGCCCACCTCTCCGCCGCCTTGAACCCTTCTGAGAGGAGGCAGGCCGTCTAAGGGGAAATGAAAGAATGGCCCAGAAAGGCTTCCCCACCCTCCTGGGTCCTGCCCCTCGTGAACTCCATGGTGCGGTCTCGAGCTGGCAGCCCTGCACCGCCCGCTGCTCCCTTTGACTCACGCGTATCCTGACCCCAGCAAGAGGGCAGGGACCACCTCCTCCCACCCGAGTCCCGGCAGCCATGCCTTGCAGAGGGGAGATACCAGGCCTGGGATTAGGGAGCCCCGGGGATGGACTCACTCATACATTGGGCAGGGCAGAGAAACACTGGTGGCCCCAAGTCTGGGGGCAGGCTGGGGAAGAGTCACTAATTTCAGTGACCGCGGGAGGGAAGACCACCGCGGGTGAGACCTGCAGCTCAGAGGCTAAAGGCACATGTCCACGCCAGGGGGCAGGCCGCTCACGCCTGGTGGGGCAGCGGGAGCCTCTTGGACCATCCCCGGACTTACAGGTACCCACCTGGGGAGGACGGCACCCGGCCACCTGAGGTCTCCGGGGGCGGGAGGCCTGAGCCCCGACAGTCAGAGCCACTGCCACCTCCCCTGGGCCTGGGAGAAGCCCAGTCTGTGCCCTCTAACAAGGCGCTCCAGGCAGAGGCCAGCACCTCCCCTGCTCCACTGTTCCCAAAAGATCTTGTGGACGACAGGGCTGTCCCGGGAATTAAAGGTCAAAGTCCGTACTTTCAGATTCACCTGCGGGTCTCGCCGTGGACTGTGTGCCGGCCTCCCTTTCCACCTGGCCCGCCTCGGAAGGGGCGCCTAGGAAGCGGGGTGCCGACCCACAGAACACCTCACGGCACCTCGGCCTTGTCGGCAGTTACCCAAGTGGTCAGCCACCTGGACCAGGGTGGCGCCGGCCAGGGCTGCCGCCCAGAGAGACTCCGAATCAGACACTCAGTCAGATGGTTCCTGGAGGAGGGGGACGTCACAAGGACACAGAGATGGGACAGGTGGGGTGACAGAGACAGACTCAGCACACCACTGACGCCCGCGGAAGACCAGGCTGTGGGGAGAAGGACCCCCTGTGGAGCCCTCTCTGGCCCGTCCCACCCACAGGGCCCCTGACAGGCGGAGGGCGGGGCCCAGATCTTCCCCAGTGACCCCAAAACCAGAGGCCAAGGCTGGGCTGCACAGGCAGCCCCACAGTGCCCTCCAGAGGCAAGAAAGAAGCAGTTCCTTCCAGCAGCCCTGGGGACTCTAAATGCTCGTAACAACTTTTGAAAATAATCAAGACTGTTTGATCCCTGGATCTCCTGAGAGCCTGAGCTTCAGCACGTGGTTTGTCCCATGAGAACAATCAGACACAAGCATCTGCCTTTCCTGTCTGACTTCTGCATTTTGAAGATTTCAAAGAGAATTAAATGACCATTTCATAGTATCTCTAAACTCTTACGTATATTCAAGTGGCCAGTGCACTCTTCTGGCCTTCAGTAACCTGCTTCTGTTTGGGTAACTTCTATGGGTTGAAAACGAGTAACGCTGGACCTTAAAACTTGGGCGTTTCTGTAAAGGTTAACAAAGGGTCCAGACTTCACCACTGAGGCACCCAAAGTCCTGTATGTTAAAAGGAACTACAAAGAAACACCTCTGTTTTAATGGAGGTGCTGGGGCTTGAAGCCAGGACCCCGTGCATGCTGAGCATGCACTCTACTGCTGACCTGTACCCTCCCCGAAGTGAGCTTATCAGTGGCCTCACAGTTTCTTTAAAATATACTTAATTAAAAACCACCACACACTTCTTAGCTGGTTCTGAAAAGTGAACAGAGTCGCTGCCTGAAGCCCAGCAAGGAGCCAGGGTGGGCGTTACCTCCTCGATTCCAGGCCTCCACACCCCCACGGGGGGCACTTCCCGCATCTGACTGCTGCCCGCCCAGGAGTAGACGTGCCACGCGCAGAACCACTTGGTCAATAAAATCTCGAGGGAGCGTGGCACAGTTCCTCACGCGCTCGGCCTTTTCTCTAGGGTGAAACCCAGACAGCCAGAGTCCTTTGGGCCGGGCCTCCGCCCCTCGCTGGCCGGCCTGCGCCCCCAGAGCATGTCCGGCCGCGGCGTCCAGGGCTCCGAGACCCTCGCCAGGTGGGCTCATGGGGCAGCCCCGCCTGCTACTAATGTACTGTGTCCTCTGCTCATCCATGGAAACTTCTGCAGCAGCCGGGTATGTTCTGGATTTCCCGATGAGACAGACCTGCAGGAGAAACCGGGCAGAGCTAGGCCTCAGCTCCAGGAGCACGTCGATGTGCTCCACGGGGTCCCCTCGCTCTGGAGCACAAATCCCACGGAAGGTTAGACACCTCCATGAAAGGAGTCCTTCTTTTAGAAACTAATCCAGAAACAGTGATTCAAAGAAGAAACAACTGCTGGCTTGAGCCTGGGCGATACCTCCTCGCGCGGACCCCGCGGGGGCCTGACGCGCATGCATGGGCCAAGGGCACATCTACGGGGCTCGTCAGCTGTGCCCCGTCTTAAACACGTCCCTGTGTCAGCCCTCCCTGCACCCCGCCCCAGCCCACAGGCGGACCCTGCTGGGGTCAGGAGCTCTCGAGGGGGCTGTGAAATAATGAGAAGTCTCTCTGTCAACCTGGCCAGAGCGCGGGGAAGAGTGTGTGAACCTGACAGAGCGCTTGGCAGGGTGTAGACGCCCAATTCACACAGTTCTCTTCCCTCTTCGTGTGTCCAGACGGAGGTCGTCCTCAGGAGCCCCTGGGAGAGCAACCCCATCCAGCGAGGCTGCCACAAGCACAGGCTCTCAGGACGTCCTCCTTGGGCACGAACCAGAAAGCCAGGTGACGGGCGATGGAGGCGAGAGAATCTGATTACACCAGAGCCACCCCTTACTGCTCTCCAGCTCTGCACCTGCCGACCGTGCAGTCTTGGGCAGGCGACAACTTCCTGTGTGGGAATGACAGTGCCTGGCATGTAACCAGTCCTCCATTAACCGCTGCTGTGGACACCCACGCTTGCATCTGATCCCCAAGCCATCCAATTAAACGAACACTGAGGCTCAGGAGATTAAGCCTGAGTCCATGGTCTCCGGCAACTAGTAACAGAACAACAAAGGCAAACATCAAAACTGCAGGTCCTCGTGCCCACTGGAATGACCCTAACTCACGCAGCTTCAAAATTCAATTCCAACCTCAGGAGACTGTGACTTGCCAAAACAGAGGACATTTAGGAGAAAGTCATGAAGGCTCTGAAGATGAGTCCCAAAGGGAATTTCCAAAATGACTCTGAGCCGTGACAGCAGTGACGTGCCTGAAGCCGACCGAGGGGACCAACCACTGCCAGCGGGCGAGCGCCTGCGGGGAAGGCCCGGCGCCAGCTAGGGCAGCCGCCTCTCCCCGGCGGCAGGGGAGGACTCGGGCACGGAGCGTTCATAATGCGCCCACGGGGGCACTGCTAGAAAGTGGGTGGCAGGGCCAAGAGTTAAGCTCAAGTCTCTGATCCTTTTCACCGCTGTCAAGCCACCAAGCTGAGATCTGAATGGCTGGCTTTTGTGTTTTGTTTTTCAAAAAAAAAGCACACTGACGGGCACAGAGTCTTATAAAAGACATGACCAGGGATTAACGCGGAACCCCGCCTGGCTCTCTCAAAGGTTCAGGCCCCTGGTAAGTCTGCCCTCACTGCCCGGCAGGGTCGCAGACAGTGCAAAGGTCAATTTCTACCTGGAAAAATTACGTTTCAGGTAAATCTGAACTAGTGAGGCTTTTAATGAGAAATTTGAAAATCATTTTGTATTTCTGAAGCAAACTTCAATTTCAGCCAATTATCTGGGAATCCGAATCAGAAGTTAGAACATTCAGCCTCAGACACTGAGGCCAGAAATCTGCACAAGAGGGAAGCGGACAGCTTCTCTAGGAAGGTCCCCTACGGCCATTCACAGCTTCTGCAGAGGCCGTGAAGATGAGGCGAGGGTTCTCACACAGCTGCTACGGGCCTGGGCCTGCAAAGGAGGGGCCCACAGACCCAGACCGGCCTGACGGAGGTGCTGGAACCAGCACAGGCGCCTTCGGGACATTCACTTCCAAACACCACAGTGTCATCACTGGTTCTGTGGCAAGGCTCCAAGTTTCCCATCTAAACACCAGCACCTCACCCTCCCAGAACAGCCAAGGCGATCAGGACGTACCCTTTTGGTAGAAGGAATTCTAAGGCAGTCCTCCTCTACGCGAAATCCACAGGCCGACCCCACCTCCGTGAGGAAGTCCAGGTATCCTCGGTACTGGGTCTTCGCGCTCTGCCGCCGCTGGTATTTTCCAATGAAGTCAAAGAAGCAGCAGGGAAGGACGAAGAAACGGCAGTGGTAGGAAGACCTTCAAAGACAACCAGCAACCATAGAAGCCAAAAGTCTTGAATGAACTCATTAAAGAAAATTCAGCTGAAAGCCTCAGCAGCAGGGCACCAGGACAAAAGGCAACTGACGTGCTGCTGGCTAATTCTGTTAGCCGGTGTAAAAATGAATTACAGCCTTCCCCGACTTAATTTCTAGAAACAACATAGCATGGTATCTTCCCAATCAGAAATGAATCTAATTATTCTTATAAAAACGTCTTCCTACTGCACTCACCATCAACTGTATTACATTTTCTATTATGTGTATCAGCAACCGCGATCTAAAACCCCCTGAACTACTCTGAGATTTCAGCTGTGGATAAAAAATTTCGGAAGTAGGCACAGAAAGATTCAGACTTGCCCCTTGACCTGTTGTTCTAAACCAGTGCAAAAGAACGGGCCGAGAGGGCGTCGTGTTTGGTGAGGTAACTCGGATGAAGACAAAGGCTGCATGCTGTCGCTTACGTGTTGTGTCTAAAAGTAAGACAAGGGAGGAGGGCGCAGCTCAGGGGTAGCGTGCGTGTCGGCGTGCGCGAGGTCCTGGGGCAGTGCCCAGGACCTCCGTCCTGTACACCAGAGAGTGATTTGTTTTTAATTGAAGTACAATCACAATGTGTCAATCAATAAACAAACAAACAACTAAACCTAATCACCCTCCCCATTAAATAAATAAATAAAACGAAGGTTCTAAAAAGAGACTCAGATATAGAGATTGACATCGTGGTGAGCAGTGGGGAACGGGAGGGAGGGGACGAGACAGGGTGAGGGGAGTAAGAGGCACAAACTACTCTGCATAAAACAAACTGCAAGGAAACACCGCACAGCATGGGGAACAGAGACACTATTTTATAGTAGTTATAAATGGAGTATTATCTATAAAAATTTTGAATCACGTTGTACACATGAAACTAATGTAATATCGTAAATCACCTGACCCCAGTTTAAGGAAAATCAATCACTAAGTCAGTCGAAGAGAACCCTGGATGAGACCTGGCAATGAAATATGAAGGGGAAGCAGGGTGCCCCCATCTCAACGAAGTCTCCCCAACACTGAAGCAGGAGCCGTCTCTGACCAATGCAGAGCGCTCCCACTTTGAAGAGACAAATATCTCAGCAGAGAGTCTTCATACCGACAGACAAATCGTCCTGTTACCAGAAAAACTTCCCAGAAGACACCTTTCAACACTGGATAAAAACACTGCAGAATTAACCACAGTGCACAACAGAAATAGAATGCGACCCACATGCATCATTTTATATTTTCTGGTACCCATATCTTAAACAGTGAAATAAAACAGGAGGAGTTTATTTTAAACGTAACCCAACATTCCAATACATTATCATTAAACAATCTGAACAAGCGACACTCCAAGTGCTCAACAGCCACAGGCAGCCCGTGGCTACTGTCGTGGTCAGTGGGCTCAATCAACAGAAGACCCCCCCCACCCACCGTGCCAGCATCTCCACCTACCCACCTGGCTGCAATGACAGGTATCCAGGGTGTCAGCTCGTCGGAATGGTTTCCGATTAACCAATCAGCGTCAGGAAAAAGGGTGTTATCATTTGGTGTGACTGCACCTTCCTAAAAGAAAGACACAAAACAAGTCCGAACATCTAGTGAATAAAAGCAGAGCTACTGAGACAGCACGACTCAGAGGGGATGAAGGCTGGAGCCCCCTCTGCAGAACCACAGCTGCTCCCGCCCTGGCTCAGCCCCTCTGGGCTACCGGGTCTTCAAGTACAAAAGGCCAAGGCTGGACTAGGAGTGAGAGCGAGCGCTCCTGGTGCAGGCCAGCCCGAGGGTACGGAATTCTGCAGCCTTTAGCACCATTACCGGGGAGCCAACGTCACTCGTCTGAGTGCTCATATCTCCTGATAATTAAAAATATCCTTTTCACATAAACAGAAGAGGGAGTGAGAGGAATATGGGACCTGTGAACCACTCTACTTGTGGCAGAAAATGGAAGCCAGAAACGGCCTGAAGGGTGGGGGCCTGGAGAGCAGCCAGGCCTGGGGATAATCTGAGTGCACCCCATGACCCACTGACACCACCTCAACACCATACAGGAAGCATCTACGCACATAAGCAGGTGTATATCTTCCCCGTTAGACTGTTACCTTCTGTAAACTCTAAGACGGCAAGTTTTTACCCACTGAGTAGCATGTGACCCATTGTGACAATTTCTGCAGTTAACCTATAAACAGCTTGCTTTATGATTTAAAAACTTTAAATGAACACCCCATCCTTTCTGCTAATTAGCAGACCATCATTAATTTTTAAATCAAATCTCAACAGGGAATCTGCCAGTAAAAACTGGAAGTAAGCAGATGTGTTATTCCTCGATCAGAACAAACAGGGAAGACGTTACGTTAACACTCACTTTCAAAGCCATTCTTTCTAACAATAAAACTACAACACAAGAGACTTTTGCAGACCTGATGGATACAAAAATAGAATTTAAATTCTTCTTTTGGCTCTTAAATAAGCATGTGTGCCTCTGTTTGCATATACATTAAAATGCTAAAAATAATAATTTCAGTAAAATACTGAAAATGGTCTATATATAACTTAAAAGCAGGAAAACCAAACTTTTTGATACTGTTTATTCTTTATTCCCACCCATTCTAGATCTAAATCTGCCTATCTCTTTAAATGGCCTACATTTATAAAAACACAAATTACACTTAGTAATTACAATAATCACATTTACAGTTATCCTTCCAACAGTATGCTGGACAACAAAGCCCCACCAATTTTAGAAAACGTTTTAATTGAAATTTTGAACGAGCAAATTGCAGTATTTCTATTTCATGTATAGCTCCACTAACGAAACTAAGGCAGGGCGATCACCACATGCTGTTATTAAAAGCACATGTTTTTCTTATCAGTCTCTTGTTTACAATCAAACACGGTTTTGAAAGAAAGAAAACAAGCCGTCCCCCATGCCTGGCCTGCTGAACGTCCAGACTGTGCCCGTCCACGGGGGTCACGCACTCACCAAGGAGCCCGTGAACACCAGGCATTCACCGACAAAGGCCACCGCGTTTCGGGCCACGCAGAAGCGTGCCAGAGGTGTGGCTGGCGTCCAGCCTCTCACTTGACCCCGCAGCACGCCGGACTCTTCTAGCACTACGACTGGAGGCCCAGGGGTAGCAAGACAAGCGCACGAGGCGAGGGCACGGCACTCTCCCAGCCGGCCTTGCCGAGCGACTTTCCCGACCCCGTGGGAAAGTCTGGAGCAGGCTGCTGGGGAAACTCAAATAAAGAGCTAGACTCTTCTGCCTGTTCTCCGAGGGCACACCATGCCGGCCAGCTCTTCCCTGGGGCCATGATTCAAACAGAGACCCAGTTCAACTGCTGTTTGAACTTTTCACCCAAAGAACTTACTTTGCTTTTCTGCCTGGGGCACGGGGGGCCTGCGGTCAGCTGTGCGCCTGCTTTAGTTTTGATCGGCCTCTTGCCAGCACTTGGAGCCCGAACTGATCAGCTGTGTAAGAACACAGTACTCTGCCCTCTGGCAGACAAGAATCTGCATCCTAGTGACAGGCACGCATTTTAGCTCAGGGACAAAGGTCTTGAGGCAATGCTGGCAGCTGAGTGGCAGAAGCCCTGTGTCGGGAGGGGTGGCGGCCCCCAGGTGCCCCAGAGCTAAGGACGTGGCCCCCATGGCTGCGCGCCCCCGGCTGGCTCAGAGACCTGGGCCAGAGACCCACAGGGGTGGACATCTGACCCCAGACCTGCTGAGGAGGGTGCTGCCAAGGAGACACCCACCCACCTCCTCCCCAGGGAGACCCCTCTCTGATCCGCCGGAGCTGCTCCCGACCACAGCTGGGGCAGCTGGGTTCACTCCAGCCCGGCGGTCACGGCTGAGATCAGGCTACTGGAGGGCTCAGGGCAAACGTGCCGTCCGTGTCACAGGCAGTCTGTGGCCCACGGCACTGCACCTGAGGCTCAGCAGTGTGCCCCCTGTGTGCTCCTCAAAGGCCCCCATGGCGCCCCTACCCTGGCGCGGTCCCGGCAGGGTGGGCACCCAACTGCAAGTGAGTGTCGGAACACGTGGCCCGTCTCAGGCCCCAGAGAACATGTGAGAAGGCCGAGGGGCTGTCCTCTGCCCCAAAGATAGCATGTGAGCGCCCGCGGGAGACACAAGGTGTGGACCAGACCTGGGTGGACCCAGCACCTGCGGCTCCAGAGGGCAGCATCTTCTCTTCAGTTTAACCCCCAGGCTTTGGAAAGGCAAAAGGCCCACCCTCCTTTGAAGCTCCAGCACACTGAGATGAAGGCGCGCTGTTACGGTTAGTAGTTCTGATTGACCGACACGCAGACATATGCTCCTTAAAACAACTGCCAGCGGGGACAACTGTGTGCGGGCACGTGACCCAACAGAGCCTGTACCTCCAAGTGCGTCTGGGGTCCGTACATGTCCCAGATGTTTCTTCTTCGGACATCAATCCCTCTGCCTGGGTGCTGAAACAATTTCAGAAATCAAAGGTTAAGGCTAGTGCATTGTAACAGATCAACGAGAACGCATCAGGCTCTGCAGGTGTCGCCGCCCACATGACACGAGAGAGGCCCCGCGCGCCTCAGCTCCTGCAGACACTCGCGCCCTCGGGGCACAGAGAAGAGCCCTCACCACTGAGTCTCCATGAAGGCGACAAGGAGCCGGGCCGGTGGGAGCACCTCCAGCCCCAGGAAACATACCTGGAGAGGGAACGGCTCACCTGCTCTCAGTTAAGTTCAGATCTCAGGCGCGCCTGCTGCTCCGGGCAACGGAGACAAGACCCGTCCTCTCGGGTGGTTCTCATCCCCCCACTGTGATCACACTCAGCTCTCAGGTCCCCCTCCCCCGCACCACTCTCAGGTCACCGCCCGATGTGCTGGCATCCCACGGACAACCTGTTTAGGTATCACAAACTCATCCTTTTACAAAGTACTTCAAAAAGTAACCTGTTCCAAGGGAGGATATAGCTCAAATGATAGAGCACATGCTTAGCATGCACAGGGTCCTGGGTTCAATCCCCAGTACCATTAAAAAAAGAAAAAAAACTGTTCCAAAGCTCCACAGCTGAGGACAGACTGTCCATCCACAGGACAGATGCTGTGGTTGGAAGAAAATCAGCCTCCGGGTCAGCACGAATGGGCTTCAATCCCAGCCGTCGCCCTCCAGCGTGAAGCTGCTGACCAGCAGCTCACTCCGCCAGGCATCGGGGCGGCGGCGCCGGAGAGCTGGGGGCGCAGGCACTGATGGCCAGGCTGCCTGAGTGGCTCCCCTGCCACGGCTGCTCTAAGCCCTCACTGCCTGCGCTTCCCTATGCGAAGACGGGTGCAAGACTGAGTATGACAGTTTCACACGTATGTGTACACGACTGTCCTGAGCCAGAGTTTATTTTCGCAAAGACAGAGCCCACCTTATCCTTTACTCCTCTCCCCATGCCTTGAAATGGTGGGTTTTCCAGGAAAACACCGACAACAAAAACATACGGCTGTTGAAAGTGTGCCGTTTCACAGGCACAGGCCACGTGTCCCCAAGAACCCTCTCCTAGTCTAGGGAGGTCACCGTCTCTGCCCTCCCGTTTTACAAGCCACCTGTTCTCCAATGACACACTCTAGCCACCACTGTTCTGACAGCCAGATCATACCAGCAGAGAAAGATCTTGTGCTGGACCTGAAGACACTCTAGCAAAGGGACAAGAAACGGCAATGAGCCTGCTTTACCCCCTCACTGCTCAGGATGTGGACCAGGAGGCCGTTCCCGCAGCCGAGGTCGACAAAGGACTGCTTAGCTGTCAGTCCGCGCTCAGCTCTCTCTTCTTCCCATAGAATCTAAGAAGAGAAAAAACAGTCAGCTTGTGACTCGCTCTCCTCCACAGGAGCTCAGACTCAAGCCCCGGTGGGACTACAAATCACTCTCCCAGAACAGGCGACACCCAGGGGAGCAGAGGGCGGTGGGGACCAGCCCCACTGTCCTCATCCGATGCCGCCTGGGCACCAAAGCCGCCTTCCTCCATCCAGAGTCCACGCTCACGTGGTCATCTCCGGGCAAGAGCTCTACAGATTACTGTTAGTTTCTTCAGGCTTTCTCTACATTCTTCAAGTTACACTTTGATAAACAAAACAAACTATCTCATTTCTAAGAAGCTAAAGATATTTACAGTTGAAAGAAAGTTGGAAATTATCTAAACATCTCATAAATAAGAAAATGAAGACTATGAAGTTAAAGGGCATGCCCAAATCTAGGTGGTGAGCAAGCTGCCGAGGAAGGTCTGGAACCAGAAACACGGAACGCTAGGTCTGGGGGGCGGGGCACAGATACGTCAGCCAGCACCTCCACGTTCCGTGTCAACTGTGAGTCGTGAAAGCACCGGTTCAGCTCGAATCCCTGCAGTGACCCTTCACAACTCAAACCTGTCCTACACTCACGCACCATGAAACGTTAGAATAAAAAAAATCACATGTGCAACCAACCTGGGCAAAAAGAACTACAAACACCCTAAGCTATGGATGTGATAAACGGCTGCTCACTGCCACCTCCCAGGAGCTGCCTCCCACCCACTGAGGCTTAGATCACACACGTTCTTACCAGCAGGTAGGCAGCAATCGCCACATCCTCATATACAAACTTCTCAGGATCAGTTACTTCAGGCCACACCTAAAACACGTTCAAGAGCAGATGTGACTTGCTCTCCCGCCCCCACCATGTCATAATATTAAAGTGTCCCCATAAGGTAGAAGTCGAACTGGACTAATCATGCAATAAAATAAAATAAGGCCGTTCCTAAGGCAGAAATCCCTTATAATTAGGGGTCTGCATGAAGACACAAAGCCTTGAGTGTATCCGTGTATAACAGGACACACCGAAAGCATTGGAGCCCAGAGCAGGTGCTGCGATAAAGCACATGAGACATTGGCACATCAGAGGAGAGTGCCTGGCTGGGCCACCCTCACCGCTTATCTAGATGAGGATAATGAACAAGGACACTGGGCGGGGGCGGGGCTGTCGAAGATGGCACAGGGACGGGGTCGGGAGGTCAGCGCTCCACCCCCGATCTATCAGTGACTTGCCGTCACTCGTGGGGAGCATCACTCAGCTCTTCTGTCCCCACCCCTCGTCTGCAAAACAGGACAGAGCCCATGACCAATGAGCATGCAGGATGACCTCAGGCACTTTGACTGTACAACGCGGGCTGGGCAAGTGTGAGGTCCATTATTAAAATCCGTAAGTGCAGGACAGGTATTTGGTAGGAGAGGAAAACCAAGGGCCAGGGTTAGATGCTCAGCTCCCTGTCTGCTGTCACAGCAGATTAGACAGTTCAGACAAGAGTTCTCACGTCACCAAGAACAACTTACACAGGTGGACGAACACAGAAGCCCCTTCTGGAAGGTGCTGAATAGTTAGTAAGATAATGAAGCACCTAGGCCAGGACCCAGGAGAGAAGGGGAGCCCGGCCGGCCGGCCAGCCCAGGACCCACACCAACTCCGGCAGGAATGAGTGGTGATCGTTTCAAGCCTAAGACTCTGGGGATGCTTTGCTACACAGCCACAGGGGACTGATTTTAAAAATACATGGAGATGATGAATCTCTAATTCTGGGAGAAGGGAGCAAGATATGGACCAGGAAGAGTAGAAATGAGGGCCAACTACATTAGCACAGGAATCTTGGAAGGACTGCGGGGTTGGGCCCAGAATCCCCCCAACAAAGTGAATTTCACAGTAAAGCGAGTCACCCAGATCTCCTGGTTTCCCAGTCCACATAAGACTTATGTTTACACTATACTGTGGTCTACCAAATGTGCAATAGCACTACATCTAAAAAAAAGAATACATACTTCAATTTAAAAATATTTTATTGCTAAAAAATGCTAACTATCACTCATCTTCAGTGAGTTGTAGGAGTTAGGTCAAATGTCACTGATCACAGATCACCATAACAAACACAATAATGATGGAAAAGTTTGAACTATAGTGCAAATTACCAAATGTGACTCAGAGACATGAAGTGAGAAAAATTCTGTTGGAAAATGGGGCCAAAAGACTAGCTAGCCAGGGTTGTCACAAACTTCCAATTTGTAAAAACTGCAGTATTTGCAACGGACAACAAAGCAAGGTACGCTTGCAGCGCTTCATCTCTGAGCCGGTGCGGGCACACAGGTGTTTGCCATCACTTTCTTTTTACATCTTACAAAACGGATCTCCTTTTTGGAAGTATATTTTCTGTACTTTAATTTTTCATATATTAAAATATCTTTAAGCTTATTCTAAAAAGCACGGTAATTTAGTAATTAATGTTCAGTTGTTTTAAATTAAACATTTCCCTTTTGTTTTCTTGAAAAAAAATTAGTAACTTGAAAAAAAAAAAGACCACGACAAAGAAGGGAAAAGTCCTTTTCCATAACACAACTGCCAGCGCTTTTGTGGTTTGAATCCCTAAGTTTGTCAAAGTACAGGCTGCAGCGGGGGACCTTAGATAGGTGTATTTTGACTTACATCTGCATCAGTATGAAGCTAGAAGGAACACAGGAAAAACATGTTGCCTGGAGCAGTCTGGTACCTCCCCTCCCTCACCTAACTTAAATGGGGGTGGGGCCACAGGCATCCTTCTTCAGAGTTACCTTGACCATGCCTTTATACTTCTCTTTAAGCTCCTGGTAAGCCTTGCTGTACTTCATGATGGAGATGAGGGATAGGGTGCTTTTGAATCCACTCTGCCTGCCCTCCACACACCACCTGGCCAGCTTGGCCAGCAGCTCTTCTCCAAGCCAGGTGGGTTTGGGATAAACAATTCCATCTGAATGCCATCTTTCTGGACAGAAAATTAAAACAGATATGAACCTTTAAAAATAAGAGAAATATGAATAAGCAGGGCTGGTTTCATTTCTTATTTTTAAATTATAAATTTATATTTACCAAAAAGAAAGAAGACAGCTACAATTATAAAATATTTTACCCAAAACAGAAAACATCTGGAACTAGTTGCAGAATTTTCATCTACTAGAGAAAAACATATTTAAAAAGCAGGAAAAATTCCTTTTCTCTTGCAAACGTTAAAAATGCATTTACACACCTCACAAAGCCCAACAGAGGGATGGACAACAATCCTTCTCACCTTCTGCTTCACGCACTGACTGGCCAGATTCTAAAATGTCTAAGGATTTTCCTAACTTTTCAATGTTTTATACACTTCACATGTGCAACTCAGGCATCGAATGCTGGTTCACCAGGTAGAATGGAACGTGAATACTCCACACCAAATGCACTGGGCACCTGCTGCGGCCGGGCCCCGTGCTGGGCCTCCCCAACAGCCCAGCAGACAGCAGCCCGAGTGCTCATCCCCCAGCTCCGGCATCAGCGCCCATCAGTGACCCCCAGGCAAACATGGCTTTCTCACAGGGTCTGCCCTTACTCCACACTTTCCAACAAGAGCAGTGGGATGCAAAGGCCTCGGGGGAAGGTCCTTGGGCAACCTTAGACAACTGTCAAGAAGCTTCACCCTGTAGGTGCTGACTTTCCCATCAAGCTTCCAAGCCTGTAACAGGCTTCCAAGCCCTATGAAGCCCAACCCAGCCCCTGCCTCAGGGGCTCAAAAATTATTAAACCCATTTCATAGGTGAGAAGACCGAGGGCCAAAGAGACGACATACTCAAGGCCACACTGCTGGGGGGGGAACCCAGGTCCTGTGTGACTCCCAAAGCAAGCTCTCCCACTGGACATCTCGGCTCTTTATGAAACTGTGTGCAACGCCCATGTGGGTTAAGCAAACATGATCCTGACGGTTGTTCTTGAAAGCACAGGCCCACGTGGCTCTCTGGAAAGCATCAACCGCAGAGATAAGAGTGAATTTACCCTTTTGACTTTTTCACTGAAAAAATACCTAATTGAAGTAAACCAAATTTCACACTTTCTGGACAGGCTCAAACACCACATGGAACTCCGGAACGTATTACACTGTTACTTTTACAACGCACATCACTGCACTCCTACCATGTCTAAAACCGCGTGAGCCTCAGCAGGAAATAAAAAAGGAAGCTTACACTTACCCCTAACTAACAAGTTGTAAGAAACACTGAAGTAACAAAGGGATAGAGTTTACTTGAACTTGGTGCTAGAACTGAGTGCTACTAACTACCAAGGCTACACACAGCAGAAGATTCCAGCCAGGCCGTGGCTGTCCAGGCACCACCAGCAGGAACAAAGCCCAAGCTGGGAAACACCAACTAGAAAGCACATAGCCAGAATGCCCTAGAGAGTCCCTCTCTCCTCAGCGACCTGGCATCTCACAGCTGCCTGAGCAAACAACCGACTGAAACCACGAAACACTGAGAGAGAGGAATCAGTTTTCTAGTCCTTACCACTCTCCTTCGCTCTGGCTGAGCTGAATTTGATACACGTTGCTCATCTTAACCTTCAAGTTGCCTTCGTCACCTTCTTCCAGAGGCAAAAACGTTACTGTTCCATTAAGGACATCTGGGGGAAAGAAGGATAAGGATGATAAATGAAAAGCGCTCAGCTCAGGGTCTCATCAGGAGTGGTCTTAGAAACAGTGATGAACCCATTATCCTGTCTTCAGCCCCAGAGCTTCTCCCCGCCAGGTTTACAACAGTGATCTTCCCAGTCATTGCTGCCTCCCAGGCGTACACCTCTGCACCCCTGCTCCGCGCGGCTCGTGGCAGCCATGCTCAGTGGGAGACAAGCGTAGAAAGCAATCCTGGAGAGGCACTCCTTGTTGGGAGGAGCCCTGCCTCACCAAGAGAAAGGTTTAGCAGGCCTCTCCTCTTCAGTGAAGCCAACGTGAGATCGCAGAAGTCCATGTCTGAAGGCCTTGTGGGCCCTGATGCACTAACCCCTCCATCCAGTAGGGATGAAATGGAGAAGGTGATAAAAGATGGAAGGGCTCCTAAACTAGTCTGGGCACTAGGGTCAGAGAGGGCCTCCCAGAGGAGGGGACAACTGGGAATAGTCTTGTGAGGACACAGAAGCAGACAGTACGAATAGGGCGGCGAGTACACGCCTACCAGCAATTCAGCGCTGCTTGCGGTGGACAGAAGAGCCTCAAAAGATGCCCACGCCCGAATACCCAGAACCAGTGACTACGCTGTGCCATGTGGCAAAAAGGGACTCTACAGACGTGGTGAGGGTTACAGACCTCAGAAGAGGGTGTACTCTGGGTTACGTGGGTGGGCTCCATCTAGTCACATGAGCCCGGAAAAGCTGAGAGCTGTCTCCAACTAGAGGCGGGAGAGGTGCAGCGGGAGAGGAAGTCAATGAGGTTCCAAGTGGGAGAAGGATCAGCACGGCTGCCCGCTGAGATGTAGGGAGGCCCCTACGAGCGTCCCAGGAGCCAGCCTTTCCACTTATGCCTTTACCTGCTAACTCCTCTGTCACCTAACGTCCAGCACTCCTTCACCTTCTCCCTCGGGCCTTTCAGGCACCGCCCCGTCAACGACTCCATCCTCTGTACAGAGGATACACGTTTCTACGTGCCTCCTCCAAAAATAATCAAAAACCTACAACCTCCCCAGGGCATTGCAAGGGAACTGGTATAGTTGGTGCCTCAAGCACCTTTTCACTGACTGCCTGCTTTTTAATCTAATGGCATCTTCTGCCAAAGATCCTCCTCTTGACCAAACTCTAGCCAGGCTCCTCTGAGCCCGGTCTCAACTAGGTTTCAACCTGGGCCTACAGAGACCTGAACAAACACTAGTCCAGTTCCTAACAGCTCAAGGCCATATCCCTAAGATGACCTTGGGCCCCTTAAAGTGCCTACATGAGAAAACTCAAAGTTGACAGAAGAACTGACTGCTCCAGCCCACACCTGAAGACCGGCCCCAGTGTCGCAGCCTCTGTGGGAGGGGAGGATCTGACTTCCATGAGCACCTGTTAGCAAACCCAGATGAGTGTACATGAACCAACCCCCCCAACCCCGCACCTCTCCTGCTTTTTTGGGTCAATTTTTCACCTTCTTGCCTCCACTGAGACACCCACCCCTCCCCACACCTTCTTTCTCCCTCTAAAAGACCCAGTCACCTCCGCACAAATCCAAGTGGAATTCAGTTCACGCTGGGGTCCTCTCCCTATTGTTAGTATATTCCTAATAGAAATCTACCCTCGCCACTTTAACCGGCTTCCGGCTGTTTATCTCTGACCCCGCCACCATCAGAAACACTTACCCTGCACGACGATTTCTTTCCTCGGGCCACCAAGCGGGCAGTGCGGGCTCGTTTTCGGGATGACTGTTCTGAGAACCACGTCGAGCTCGTGCTGAGCGTCTGGCTGCGATTCGGCCCCGGAGCCGGAGAGGAAGGTTAGCAACTCTCGGTTGCCGCCGGCGAGACTTCGGGAGAAATCGTCCCAGAGAGAATCCAGATGCGACGCGGCGAAGTCGCCCTCCCCGGCTCCAGCCTTGCCCGGCTGCTCAGGGGCCCCTGAGAGCAGGGGCGCTGCGGCTGCTTTCCTCCGGGCCTCCC